TCTACGCGGGTCTACTACGTGTCTGTATATCAGTGCCTGTGTTGTAGTAGTCAGGCATGTTGAACGTGAGCCACGAGCCCGTTTTGTCTCCGCAACGTTGCGCTGACGTTCCCCACGCGGGCATTTGACATTTCTCCTGCACGGTATCCGTGCCGCGGCCCATGGAAATCTTTGGCGGGGTAAGAAACAGTGCCGGATTCTCCTAAGTAGCATAAATATCTACATATGTAGTAGCTACGGGCGCCGCACTTTCAAGAGCCCCGCGCTAAATGCTTTCAAGCTATCAATTCCGGTTCAGTGATTCTGCACTTGCTCTCTTACTATAGTACTATACCGCCTTGAATTTTTATGAACGACTGGGTGTTTAATGTTAGCGATTTGTCGTATTATCTGGCTGTATAGCAAATGAAAAAATACAGTTACTTTACTATGCAAGTAAAAAATGTATGTGTTTTAATATTTACGTGTTTTTTTAATTTAGGGTCCCTTTAAAACATATGCCACAGGCACCGCACTAGCTTCATCCGGTACTGGGTGAGAACCGCTGTCGTAAGCAAGAAAAAAAACGCCCCCCCCACAACCCATCCCTTAAAAAATAAGCCGTCAAAATAACAAACCCAACCAAAAAAAACCGTACTAATTGAGAAACGCTATCAATAAATCAGTGCAATTCCACCGGAAATCACGCGGCTGTGGCCCTTGTGAATGCTGCTGATAGCGCGCGTTGGCCGGAGTGTGCGCGCCTCTGCCATGGAGTGTGGAACAGACGCCTCGAGTTTGGGGGCGAGCAAATGCTCCGTGCTATTTTTAGCCGCTGGCATTTTGGAGAAGTGGGGAGCTCCGCGGAGCCGGCTTGGGCACAGTGACGCAAGTGGAATCGCGCTGATAGCCACCGCCGCGGATGCACATTACGTGCGTGTGCCCGCATGGGATTCGTGGCGTTATTGGTGGGGTGTGGTGGCAGAGACACACGCGCGCACTGCACTTCGCTACGATTCGCAGTGGAAAGCCAATCATTTAAATAATAAGAATCAGGGCTTGATTTTGGGTCGGTGACCCGGATAATGTTTCCGCGCTCGGCATGCCACATCCAGTTTACCTCTTGTAGCCACAGCCATAAAGGAGAATAATATTGGACGCATTTCATTTACGAGTCAGTGGTAAACTGGAGTAGAAGGCATGCGATTAGTAGCCACAGCCATAGTGAGTCACCTCCAGTCTACCAGCGCAGTTGATTGACTACGGCTGACGCTGACGATGATGAATCTATACAAACGTTTGACCTCTAGGGCCAATAACTATGACCCACAACTAACAGAGGGTCCTTGCCTATAAACTTCCTGATGTTTACCAGCACTGGTTCAAGAAAAGCGTGCCTGCTGATGAGCCACTGAAGGTCGAAACCGGTCCAGTTTTTTCTTGCGTCGAACCAAATGTCGCTGAAATTGTGCGCTCTCAGAAGGCGGCGTGGCTGATGGACGTGATTGTCATTTTGTTTACATGTGGACGAACAGCTATGCGATGGGAGGCGTGCATTGTCTGCCAATTCACTTGAAGGTGCATTCATCGCTGTAGGAGCATATTTGTGCGAGTGGGCGCTTGTCTGGCTCAGCTTGCGTCCGCACGTGTGTTTGTGTCACCCGCATCACAAGCGCGTGTGTGCGCAATGCCATCGCTATGCGTTCTAAGAAGCTTTGCCGTAAAAAATAAAAAAACAGGTGAGAATCCTCAGAACTCTGTGATCTTTGGAAACAAGAAACCCCCCATGCTCACGAGTATATATATTTTTTAAAATTCACAATTCTATTTACAAATAAATTGGGGATAATCATACGTGGGGATGGAACCGTTTAAAAATTTGCACGCAAAAATGATGCAGAGGAAGAACTGCATTGTGGTCCTCTAGTCAGTCGCCGTCGAATAAAATGTCATCAAGTGTGACCGACCTTTGTTCAAGTTTATTTTATGTTGATCAAAGACACGAGGGCCCCACAATGCAGTTCTTCAGGAACTGCTGATGGTTCATGCAAAAATCACTCGGTCGAGTGATTCCTGTCCATGTGTTCTTTTTTTGCGCTGCTTGAAACTTGTGGCTTTGCTACCCGCGTTGTTGTTGTTGTTGTTATGATGATAATGGGTTTTCTTTCCATTTAGAGATTATTGATTATAACTGTGTAACAATTTTTGTTCCTGGGTAGTAAGTGTTATTTTCTAATTGCTTACGCCTCAAAAATATAGCAAATGGCTATTATTCCCCACAAACTTTGCTGTTGTGACCAGGACAGTTAAATTTTGAAATTTACCTATTGTCAACGAGAAAACGTGGTGTGCATTTGTGTCATTCCTTCACATAAAGTCCTGGCCACCAAAGCAAAGTGTGTGGGGAATAATAGCCATTTGTTATACTTTTGAGGCATAAGCAATTAGAAAAGAACACTTACTACCCAGGAGCAAAAATCGTGATACATAGTGAATTATGAATGGGCGACAATGGCGAAGCGGGTTAACGCATTGCACGACAGGACCAGTGAGCTTCTCGGTCATGGCAAGCGTCAGACACGAGCGTTGTCTCGACCAGTGCAGGGTGCTGCCCCATTCAGCAATCCTCACTGACCGGCAGCGCGGTAAAGTGTGGTCACAAACAACCCCCAATGATCGTCTCACACACACACCACACACCAAGGCCGTAATTATAATGAATATTGAAGGGGGACACATCCCAAACAATATTCAAATATGCTTAAAATGTCCCCCCCCCCCAATATATTGCTGTAAAATAGATTTCTGTTTATATTATTGTGGTTATGGTTGTACTTTATTGATCGCTAATCTCTGCTATTACCTACAATGAAACAAAAAGGTAAAAAAAACAGAGCAATGTAATACAATACACTATTAGACATTATTGTAAAAAAACAAAAGTCCATCCTATGTGTAAGTGAATTTTGTAATATTTTAGGCAGGAAATTCGTTTTCAAATGTAGATTTTTTTCTGGGGGGGGGGGGACACACCCCCAGACCCCCTAGAAGATTTGGTCCCCCCCAATGTTGACTCTATGGCTACGGCCTTGCCACACACACACAACACACACCACACACACACACCACACACACACAGTGGAGATGCTTTAATCTCGGAGTGACATCACACGCCGCTGATGTCATTCGTGGCCATGGATTAAGACTCAGGTGGCCGGGATCGTAGCGCAGTTCCACTGCTTCACCCACGTGGGGGAAAAAAAACGCCAATGTGTGTGTTTTCATGCTTGGAAGAGCGAATTAACATTGAATACGATGGTCTATAGAGCAGTGGTTCTTCACCTGGTGTGCACGCACCCCCTGGGTGTGCGAGATGCCCTTTCTGGGGGTGCGAGACATGGCCAGATCTTTTTTTAGAAGGTAAATCATGGAAAACACAAGTTAAGAACGGGCAAGTACAACAACTACTTTGTTTCATCAAACCCAATGTATTTATTAAACCCGTTTTTTTACGATTGAGAAACCAAAGGGGTGCAATGGCTGCAGTGAAGGTTGAGAACGACTGGTCTATAGGATCGTGCCATTGTGCAATGATCAGCGAGCGCACTAGCCAGGGCAGCGGGCAAGAGCAAGCGATTGCGGGATCGTAATACGGTCGGCCGGGCGTGGTGCTGGCCACCCAGCACCTCGTGTGCCGTGCCGACCGCCATAGGTACTATTCGCTAACAGCACTTGCCCCAGCAGTCTGTTACAGGCTACACGGGGGATCTTTATCGTTGTATGCGATGCCGGTAGACATTGTGATGTGATGAGTTCATGAAGAGAGAGCAGGGCCACCATCATCACCACCACCACCACCAGCCAACCACGGCACGGTGACCAACATGGCATGCCTGTGAAATGTGTCACACATCCCTTGCTCCCTCACTCCCATGCGTCTCCCTCCGCCCTCTGCCCCCCCCCCCCAGCGAAGGCTACGGGTTTCTCTTCCGGCGGATGACTCAGTCGTGGGCGATGCAGCCCCCCACCCCCAGGTTGACTCACGCCGCACGCCGCGCGAGCAACAGAGAGAGAGAGAGGTTCGACCAATCTGGGTGGTATTTGGAGTGGCCCCAAAGCCGCTCCAGACACACACAAAAAAATATTTAATCCGACTTCCCTCCACCAGGAGAAGTCGTGGCGGCCGAAAGGGAGGAACGCGCGTTTTGTGCCACCACGCTGAACCAACAACAGCAACAACAACCGCCATTCGCCACGGCTCTTGTGCCAGGCTAGGTGCACGCTTAACCGGCCACCCACCCACGCACACCTCCAACACACACAGTTCCATCTTCTCAGCGCCAGGGCACATTTCCTGCCATTGTTAGCAAGAGCATTGGAAATATCACGGGACATTTTTTTTTGTATCGCCAGGATCAAAGTATGAAGAATAAGAGTAGGTTTTTTTTTACCCTTTCTGGCAAATCAAACAGGGGGTGTCAAGATGTTCAAACACCACGTAGATACACACTCTGTGGTTCTTTCGGTAAAGTCACGTAGGTATAAAAATTTTTTATAGATCGCGACGTTTCTATCGCAACAACCGTCTGCAGGTGAGAGAATCAGACTGCTGTGGACGAGGCGTTGCGTTGGTTTAGAGTAAAGCAGATAAAGCACTTTTGTTATAAGGGGCCGTCCATAAATGACGTCACATACCTAGGGGGGGGGGGGGGGTGGTGAGACATTTGTGACGATGTGTGACGATGGGGGGGGGGCGGGTTTGAGGAATGTGACGTCACATCAAAATGCGCAACTTTATATAAATATAGACAACACGTTCTTTTTTAATAAATGTTTTCTCCTACAACATCAGAGTCCAGCGCGACATTAAATACGCACTACAATGACAATAGTTTAAAGCGATTTAAAGCATGTTTTATATATTTTTTGGCGGGGGGGGGGGGGTGGGGGTGGCAGAGCTTTGTGACGTCATATTTGAGGGGGGGGGGGGGGTCTGACTTTTTGTGACGCCGTGTGACGAGTCAAAAATCTTCCAAAATCGCGTGACGTCATTTAGTGCTTTTGCCGGGACGTGCCGAGTGAGGTGGGCGCACACTCCGACTCGCTCATCCCACCACGGCGTCGCCTTGCTTGCGGGCGTAACCCGTCCACACTGCTGGCTGTCGGGACGGACGCGGTATCAACGGTAAATCACACGCTTGGGATTCCTCAAATCATTAAGCAAGGATTCCAAGCAGGCTTCGCGACCGGGGCTGCTTCGTTTAGACGGCGTTGCCAGGTGTCACACTCTCCGTGTGACACACTCTCCGTGTGTCACACTCTCCGTGTGTCACACTCTCCGTGTGTCACACTCTCCGTGTGACACCGAGATTGGATTTGCATCACGAGCTGTGGTGCTGCGAAGCGCCACGCAGTCACCAACTCATCCCTCTCCATTGTTGTTTCACTCCACCCACTCTTATTGAGCACGTCCAGTGCCGAATGAGCGTAGTAGCACAAGTAGCTACATGTGTAGCAGTAGCCTACATGTGTAGTAGCTAGTAGTGCATGTAGTAGCTACATGTGTAGTAGTAGCTACACGTGTAGTAGCTACATGTGTAGTAGTAGCTACATGTGTAGTAGTAGCTACATGTGTAGTAGTAGCTACATGTGTAGTAGCTACATGTGTAGTAGCTACAGGTGCAGTAGCTACATGTGTAGTAGTAGCTACATCTGTAGTAGTAGCTACATGTGTAGTAGTAGCTACATGTGTAGTAGCTACATGTGTAGTAGCTACAGGTGCAGTAGCTACATGTGTAGTAGTAGCTACATGTGTAGTAGCTACATGTGTAGTAGTAGCTACATCTGTAGTAGTAGCTACATGTGTAGTAGTAGCTACATGTGTAGTAGCTACATGTGTAGTAGCTACAGGTGCAGTAGCTACATGTGTAGTAGTAGCTACATGTGTAGTAGCTACATGTGTAGTAGTAGCTACATGTGTAGTAGTAGCTACATGTGTAGTAGCTACATGTGTAGTAGCTACACGTGTAGTAGCTACACATGTAGTAGCTACATGTGTAGTAGTAGCTACATGTGCAGTAGCTACATGTGTAGTAGCTACATGTGTAGTAGCTACACGTGTAGTAGTAGCTACATGCGTAGTAGCTGCATGTGTAGTAGCTACATGTGTAGTAGCTACACGTGTAGTAGTAGCTACACGTGTAGTAGCTACACATGTAATAGCTACATGTGTAGTAGCTACATGTGCAGTAGCTACATGTGTAGTAGCTACATGTGTAGTAGTAGCTACATGTGTAGTAGCTACACGTGTAGTAGTAGCTACACGTGTAGTAGTAGCTACACGTGTAGTAGCTACATGTGTAGTAGCTACGGGCCCCGCACTTTCAAGGGCCCCGCGCTAAATGCTTTCAAGCTATCAATTCCGGTTCAGTGATTCTGCACTTGCTCTATTACTACAGTACTATACCGCCTTCATTTTTTAATGAACGACTGGGTATTTAAGGTTAGCGATTTGTCGTATCATCTGGCTGCATAGCAAATACAAAAAATACAATTACTTTTCTATGCAAGTTAAACATTTGTGTTTTAATATTTACGTGGTTGTTTTTATTTAGTGCCCCTTCATAAATATGCTACAGGCCCCACAATAGCTTCATCCGGCACTAAGCACGTCGCATTTAATAAATTATGGGGTCAAGATAATTCATTTTCTACCTTTGAGTGCAAATAAACGTGCGTGCATTTTTTAGAAGTGAAAAAAACGGATGGTGTCGAGGAGACATCCGCTTAACCCAACGGTGCGTATTCATATTCTCCACAAACGGCCCCCAATTTATAATTATTCTTTAGTTAATCATCCAAATGTGGCGTTCAGAAACTTGCGCCATAGCTTCAACTTCCGCGCCCGGGAGATTGAATCGGAATGGGTGTCCACTGGATGGCAAGTTCAGTTGCACTGATCGTTACGTTGGCAGCGAATGTATATATTAATAGAGCTGTCATATAGCTTGTGGAGGCGCACAAACACAGGCACACGCGCGCAATGAATCATTGATAGCTGGGGGATTTTTGTTGTTGTTGCCACGTTTATATCGTTATGACTTATATGTATGGCCTCTATCAAGATCCAGATACATTTATACACACGTGCTGCAGTCTTATTAATACTTCCCTGTGGGAGAAAACGAAATACAAAAAAATAGTTCCTTGATTATTACACAGAACGCGCTTTTGCCACGCGAGATATCATCGTCACTATGTGACTTTTAGTTCAGCCGCCGACCTCAAACCACCACGGTTTTGGAATGGGATGGAATGCGCTTAAATATGAATCACGATTTTTTTTTTTATAAATCTGCATCGTTCCGTTTCTCACCAAACCCACAACCTCGTCACATTTTTGCCACGCGGTAGATATCACAAACGACGACATTGTGTCAGTTCATTTTGTCAAGAAAACTGAACATTTTCAGCGTTTAATGCCTAATTTGAATATTGTATTACAGGAGTGTATATTTGCGCATGCTGCAATGATGTACAGCCCGTCCTGCTATCACGCGGCGTGTTGTTTTCACGACGCGAATTGGACACAACGTGATGAGTGTATTAGGGAACGCGTTTCTTTTTTTTTAAAAGGCGGATGCGAATTTGATATAACGCGATCGAGTGAACGGAGATACGTCGGAGCGCGAGTAGGAATAAGCAGTCGTGCGGCTGCCTCGGCCGTAGCATCGCACAGGGAATTGGGATGCTGCTGGATGGTTATACATGCTGTCCACGCGCCTCAGACTTTGTTCAGCCTACATACGCATTTCATTATAACGCGATTTTTACTGGTAGGAACGAAGTTGTAAACTGAGTGTACCAGCCTGCAATAGATTAATGTGTCCGTCCGTCCGTCCCCTTTCAATACTTTAACGAAGTGAAATCTCGTGCTGTTGGGTGTAAAATCAGCAATAGACAGCGCAGAGACTTGATATGTCTTATTGCACCCAACATTTGGAAGTCACAATGTCATAAAATTGCGCAAAATTCCAATGTTCCTACCAGCCCACCCTGCAGGGACCTGTTTTTCATAACGCGGTGTTCTTCAGGAAGGCAACTCCCGCGTTCTAGGGGAACATAACGTGAATGTTTAACGCACTCCACTCGCCATCCCAAAGGTCGCCCGTTCATAATCAGATTCTTTATTTTATACTGGAGGAAGCCGATGAGCTATAAAGCGCTCTTCCTCCCAGCGCAGCAGTTGAAACAACGCTGCAAGTTTCCGACATGACCCTCAAGCGCCACCTCTGTCCGCCCAGAAGTATAATCAGTGATTACACCGCAGTCAGGCGATTGGCAGGTCACGCTGTGGTGGCAGTGCCGGATGAAGCTAGTGCGGGGGCCCGTAGCAAATGTTATAAAGGGACCCTAAATATATATTTTAAAAAAACACGTAAATATTAAAACATTTTTTTTTACTTGCATAGTAAAGCAATTGTTTTTTTTCATTTGCTATACAGCCAGGTAATACGACAAATCGCTAACCTTAAATACCCAGTCGTTTGTAAAAGTTGAAGGCGGTATAGTACTATAGTAATAGAGCAAGTGCAGAATCACTGCAACCGGAATTGATAGCTTGAAAGCGTTTGAAAGTGCGGGGCCCGTAGCATATGTAGCTTCTTTCGCAACTCGAATAATCCGGCGACGTGTGGTGGGGTGAAGTGTGGGTACTCCCACCTATCTCCAAGACGTCTGGCTAGAGTGGAAGAGTAGGCAGAAGCACCCTCTAATCGAGGCCCTTTAGTGGAAGCCTCTCACGCCAGCAGTGGCGTGAGCAAGCAATTGCAGGGCTGCACATTTGCCTTGTCCCGGCAATACTGTCGATGTAAGGGGCCGTCCATAAATGACGTCACGCACCTAGGGGGGTAGGGGGGGGGTCAGACATTTGTGACGATGTGTGACTATCGGGGGGGGGGGTTGAGAAATGTGACGTCACATCAAAATGCGCAACTTTAAATAAATATAGACAACACGTTCTACTTAATTAAATAGACTTTTTAACAAACGTTTTCGCCTACAACATCAGAGTGCAGCACCACATTACATACGCGCTACAATGACAATAGTTTAAAGCGATTTGAAGCACGTTTTATTTTTTTTTGGGGGGGGCGCAGAGCTTTGTGACGTCACATTTAATGGAGGTCTGACTTTTTGTGACGCCGTGTGACGAAGGAGGGGGCGGGTCAAAAATCGTCCAAAATCGCGTGACGTCATTTATGGACGGCCCCTGAAGTGCAGTGTGCAGGAGCGAGGCGGAGAGGAATTGTGACGTCATCAGGAAGCATTCGTCCAGCAGTGGCTCCATCAAGGCCGTTGACTCGTCGTGAAGGAGCACACCGAGATGACCTGCACGCCTGTGATTCTAAAGTGTTACTGCAGCCTCGCAGCCCTTTGCTGCTCAATGGTTATGATCATTATTTCTAATGTTAATGAATACATAGGTTTGATGGAACAAAGTACTTGCACTCCGGTGATTTGTGTTTTCGATAATTTTACCTCCTAAAACAAAATCTGGCATGTCTCGCACCCCCAGAAAAAGGCATCACGCACCTCCAGGGGATGAGTGCACCCCAGGCTAAGAAGATTTGAAGTTTTCGTGACTGCAAGGATCCATACTCTTTGATTCTTTCGGTAAAAGTCACGTCGGTGAAAGTTTTATTTATTATTTATTTTTCCGCCTACGTGACTTTACCGAAAGAATAAAAGAGTACGTTTCTTCATCATTAGACCTCCTTTGCTAGTACCAAAATGTAATAATAGGGTTTTTCCCATTTTTTTTTCTGGCAACAAAACTGAAACCTTTTTTACAAGGATTCATGTCACTGCATTAACCACAATACCTGCAGTCAAAATGCAAACAAAAAACATACTATGATAATATATGCATTGTCCTTGAAACTGATTGGTCCACACCAAGGGACGGCTTTCTTTTGAGCTTCGACCCAATTGGTGCTCGACCAGATGACGCCAAAAGGCGTCACACAGCTCAAAGACAATGCACTATCAAAGTAATGAGGGCTCGGGGTGAGCATCTACATCATTAGACCTCCTTTGCCAGTACCATAATATAATAAAGCCGTCCCTTGGTGTGGACCAATCCGTTTCAAGGACAATGCATCATATATTATCATAGTTTGTTTTTTTGTTTGCATTTTGACTGCAGGTATTGTGGTTAATGCAGTAAACATGAATCCTCGTCACAAAAAAAGGTTTCAATTTTGTTGCCAAAAAAAAAACAGGTGAAAAACCCTATTGGTACGTTTCTTGTTCATGTTTGTGTTTGTTGCGGTGGCACCCGAGAGCTGAATGGCTCACAGGGCTTTGCCTAATAACTGAACTGAAGAAGAACTTCTGCTGCAGAGTTCCCTCTAGCAGAGGCCCTTCCGCCAGCAGTGGCTTGAGCAGGCGAATTGCAGGGCCGCACCTTTGCCTTACGAGCAATGAAAGCCACCGATAGCTATTTATCCTGGATTGCTGTGACCAGTTACAAGCTAATCACTCAGCTATTTCAATGCTAAATTCTATGCTAATTCCTTTGTCAAGGGGTGCCTCTGCGGATGTGTATACTTTAACTTAGCTATTTCAATGAGCCATTTCAATGCTAAATTATATGCTAATTCCTTTGTCAAGGCGCTTTGTTTCTTCTCACACGGCTTAAAGGTCGTGATCTGAGCGTGGCTTTTTCACTCCAGCGCTGTCCTCCAGACAGTCTCGTCCCTTCACCTGAAGAAGGCCGCTTGTGTTGTGGCCGAAACGTCGTGATTTTTGTTATTTTATTTTTTACCTACGTGACTTTACCCAATAGAACCAAAGAGTAAGGTGCGGAATGATTCACCATGCGTCTTAGAATAGGTGGGAGCACCCACGAAATGTCATCTCCCTCGCCTGGTACGCAGGAGGTCGTGGGTTCGATCCAGATCCTGACGCCTGCTGCTGCTGTATATTTGGAGTTTGCGCCTTCTCCCCATGGTCGCGTGGATTTTTATCCGTGTTTTCCGGGGGTTCCTCCTCCACATTTACAATGAACATCACGCGTTCAGAGTATTCGGCAGCTATAAATGTTTCCACGTGATGAGCCACTTCGTTGAGCTGTCATTTGTGGCCAGGTCGCATCTGAAAAAGAGCTACATAAAACAAATATTAGCTTTTTTCTAGTTTACCTGTTACCCCCCCCCCCCACCTTAAGGGCCGTCCATAAATGACGTCACGCACCTAGGGGGGTGGTCAGACATTTGTGACGATGTGTGACGAGGGGGGGGGGGGTTGAGAAATGTGACGTCACATCAAAATGCGCGACTTTAATTAAATATAGACAACACGTTCTACTTAATCAAATAGACTTTTTAATAAATGTTTTCTCCTACAACATCAGATTGCAGTGACACATTAATGACAATAGTTTAAAGCGATTTGAAGCATGTTTTTTTTGGGGGGGGGGCAGAGCTTTGTGACGTCATATTTGAGGGGGTCTGACTTTTTTGACGCCGTGTGACAAAGGGGGGGGGGGGTCAAAAATCGCGTGACGTCATTTATGTTTTTGCAGCACCCTGTATATAGTAGTATATATATACATTGTATGTATTACATTGGTGTAATGACTCCGACGACAAGGATATAAAAAGAGCCACTTTTATTAGTTTACACCATAAGGAACCCTACTATGGATTACACAAGCAGGGACCCCAGGCCTCGTGACTGACTTCCAGCTTGTATCTTCCTCCGAACGTCCCCACTCCTCGTGCTCTCCCCCTTACAGTATATCTCCCTGGAACCTTCTCGTCCTTGTGTTTTTTTTACCTCTAGCCAATCCCCGCCCTTTCCTTTGAACGGATCATTTTTTATTTTCCCATTCAACCCCCTGATTCTCCAATCCCCTTTAAAAGTCTGCACTCCCGACCAATCAGCGTGGAGGCCTCTTTCCTCCAATCGGAGACCGTTGTTTATTTTTAAATAGCCGTTTAGGGTGCATATGCCTTGGGGTCATTTTCGGTCATTGCACTCGTATAGGCGAACCCCAACTTACGCGAATCCGCGCTTACGCAAAGGCACACGGAACCTAACCCCCGCAGTACTCTGGGACCTTGCTGAACTTGAAACTAACAACTGCGCAATAGGACGTGGGTGTGCGAACCTCGGTTGCTAGGGCTTTTGGCCAAATGCTCTGATCGCCAGGCTGTGTCAAACACAAACACGAGTACAGTTGGTCAACAATGTCCCCTTGGCCCTACAACCCACCCTTGAAGTTCTGCAGACATTATCACAGACGCACTGAGCACAAGAGAAAAAGGCATTTGCCCAGCACATACCAGTGCAACCGCGCATACACACACACACCCAGACGCACCCGGACGAACACACGGACACGTATGGCCACACGCATCTTCAAAACGAAAGTCGTACCTCCACATAAATGAGTCCCATAATCGTTGGCAAATGGCTTCGTGGTCAAATTCCGGAAAGTCTACCTTTTTTCTCTCTCTCTGTCTCTCTCTCACACAGACACACGTACGCTCAATTCACAGAGAACAAAGGTAGACGAGATTACTCGTTATTTCAGACTGTGTCCGGGGGGGAGGGTAGGGGGCGAGATGTTAACTACCTCGCCTGGTATACAGGAGGTCGTGGGTTAGATCCCGACCCTGACTCCAGCTGTATATTTCGAGTTTGCGTGTCTCTCTCCCCGTGGTCGCGTGGATTTTTCTCCAGGGTCCTCCGTTTTCCCCCTCCCACATCTAGAAATATGCGTCTTGAGTAATTTGGCTGCTACATAGTATCCACGTGATCAGCCGATTCGTTGAGCTATCCTTTGTGGCCAGGTCGCATCTGAAAAAGATCTGTACAGCTCAGTGGGGCTAACCTGGTAAAAAAAAAAAGAAAAAAAATGTTTAAAACAGTTGTGCGCGGGCTGCCGGCGTGAGCCGATGACCGGCGGTTGTCCAACGCAGAGGGCCCGGTACCCATCATACAAAAAAAATGTGGAATTCCCCACCGCTGGATCAGACCTGGAAATGGACGCGAAATCCATTGTGGCTCACAGCTATTAGCTCTCCGATGCTTTCTCAGGTCGTTCCGCGTGCTGTTTGGTACTGAAAGAGAATTCTGAAAGAAAGAAAGAAAAAGCCGTCGTGCAGACGGAAGCCTTTCTTGTCGTGGCCGGGTCACCCGAGTGGGGTTCAGGTCACGTGCAACTCAGTGGCGGATTAAGCGAGTGCGGGGCCTATAGCATATCTTATCAAGGGGCCCTAAATTAAAAAAAAACACGTAAATATTAAAACACTATTTTTTTCACTTGGATAGTAAAGTAATTGTATTTTTTATTTGCTGTACAGCCAGATAATACGACAAATCGCGAACCTTAAACACCAAGTCGTTCATAAAAGTTTAAGGCGGTATAGTACTATAGCACTAGAGCAAGTGCAGAATCACTGAACCGGAATTGATAGCTTGAAAGAATTTAGCGCGGGGCCCTTGAAAGTTCGGGGTCCGTAGCATATGTAGCTACTTGTGCTACTAGGATAATCCGGCCAGGAGTTGGACACGTGCCGTGAGAATCGGAGTGCAGCCTCACGGCAGCCTATTATTTCACCATCGTTGATATTTACCAACCGCCCCAGACGCTCGTGTGAGGCTTACGGAGAGCGAGTTGTGACACCACTTCACACTCATGTTAGCCATGTCCGGGGAATTGAACTCAAAACCCTCCGGGTTCGTAGCGCAGTGTAAGGACCACCACGCCAACGCTACCCATCCATACACATACAGACACACACGTGACCCAAAGACACAAAAGCAAATCCCCCGTGTAGCCTTTAAGAAAGTGTTGGGGCAAGCGCTGTTATCGAGCAGCACCTATGAAAGCCGTATGGTGGCACACGAAGGGGGTGGGTGGCCGGGACCACGCCCGGTAGCTTTTCTCTTCCTTCGTTTCGATGTTAACAGGGGCCGTCCATAAATGACGTCACGCGATTTTGGACGATTTTTGACCGCCCCCCCTCGTCACACGGCGTCACAAAAAGTCAGACCCCCCCCTCAAATATGACATCACAAAGCTCTGCCCCCCCCAAACTATATTTCCATTTTGAAAATAAAATATGCTTCAAATCGCTTTAAACTATTGTCGTTGTAGTGCGTATTTAATGTGGCGCTGCACTCTGATGTTGTAGGAGTGTTGTTATAACAATTAGTGCTGTTATAACAATTCTATATTTATTTAAAGTTGCGCATTTTTACGTGACGTCACATTTCTCAAACCCCCCCCCCCCTCGTCACACATCGTCACAAATGTCTGACCCCCCCCCCGTGCGTGACGTCATTTGTGGACGGCCCCACACATCACAGGAGGTACTAATTTTAAGATTAGCTCAACCTAGGGGAGGCCCGAGACAAGATCAGATAATTGTCACTGTTATCGGTTGCGAGCGGGAATCGAACCCAGGCGACCGGGTTCATAAC